ACCTTGAGTAGCTTCAAAAGTAGGGAAAATATGGGTAAACGGTGCTTAGCCTTTTTTCGGGCCATAGAATACTTCACGCTTTGAGAAAGTTAGCAAACGACCCCTCCTTATAGCGCCACAGCACTCCTCGCATGGTCTTATCGATTCCCTTGACGTTTCAGGGCGTTTAGGTGGTGATTGCACGCGCTGCTCACTGTGAGACGTGAAGTAAAAGTGTTCCGTCATGTTAAATTTGCACCTAAATTATTAGGTACCGGATATCTGAGTGTCGTTTTTTCACCATGAGTTTTGGACCACCAATATTTTCATTTAAAATCCGGGAAGTGAAACAGCAATTCATCTAATCACTCATTAGCACTTTCCCATTTAAAAACATTAGCGGAACCTCGTCTCTTAACAGCTATGAATTTTGAGTAGAAAAAAGAGAGGTTTCGTTTCACAGTCATCTGACAATCATCCTCCTCCGCCACTTGCTAAACAGTTGGGCCTGGACAAAATATGTATACATTTAGTTAGAGTAGGGTCTGCACTGTATGGTGGAAAATTTATTACTTACCAGCTCAACTGGACAATTTTTCCCGGAGTCTTTTTTGCCACATAGGGTCAAAAACGCACCCTTTTTGAGCACACGTGAGTAGCAGATGAGCACATTTATTAGAATTTCTTGTGCAATCAACTTCGTTAAAGCGTTTGTGCATCATCGATCAGTGCTAAGGTGTCCTACCATTTCAGCACAAGACTGGTGCAGCCCCGTCTCGACTGATTTAACTAGGGCCACCTTTTTGACGACGATTGCGGGCATCACTTCAAAGACTTCACTGTCTTTTGAGAAAACTGTGAAAAACCGATGAGCATTTTAATGGTAGTATTCCCTCCAACAAATGCAATGTTGGTTTGGTGGGCGGAAGTTGTAGCTCTCAGCAAGAATTTTGAAGCATTTGGTACACACATGCGAATTTGCACACTGGACCCAGGAATTTTCAAAAAAAAGTATAAAAATTGGGGAAAGTTAAATTGTGAACCAACAATAGAAAACAATAAGCAACATATTTCGCAGTATTAATGAGCAAAAAGGACTTTCTGAGATATTGATTTTCCATAGTAATCGGCCCCAAAACTTCCTGAACTCAGAAAAGCGACACTAAGATATCCGGTACCTAATAGTTATGAATTGAATCAAGAAATTGAGAACTTTTTCATGTAAAATTTTCTGTTTAGCGGGATGACCTTGCGGCTGGTGCTTCAGCAGTCTTTACCCCTCCGGTCAGCACATTTGCCGACCAATTCAGCAACATATCTATTACTGAAAAGGTACCTATTTTGGCTCATATTGAGTAGATTTTCTCAGTTCATTCATGATGTTATTAGGATGGTGAAGTTTTAACCACGCAGTGGGAGGATTCCGCAACTCTTGCGGCACAACAGTGGCCCGGTCTTGGCCAGGACGGAGATGGCGGAGGTGCTTCTGCGGGCCAAGGAAGACGTCGACGAACGGACGATCGTGAGCGTCGCGCTCGTGAATCTCCCAAGGAGCTAACGTGGGAGGAGCGCATCCGGAAAGGCGCTGTTCAAAAGGAACGCGTAGAGCAGCGAGGGTAGGTCTGTAGTGTTATAGTGTGATTTCTATGCTATTTTGTTCTTTTCAGTTTGGAAAGACCTGAGAGGATTGAACGCGATGGGCGTGACAACATTTCTGGGAACGGGCGTCACAAAGGTCAACGTGGCGGTCGATATGGAGCACCTGCTAGATCCGAACGCTCAGGAAGGGAACCAATACTTTCTCCGGTATTAGGGGTATGCGATTTTTACTTTGCTTCGTATTTCTTCAAATGTGTTTGTAGAAACTTCCACTTATGTATTAGGTTGTTCCATAAGCAGTGTCGTTCTTTTTTCAAACGAAAAATTTTCTGCTAAATCCTATGTGTTCTTATCACTTAACCTCCCCTTCAAAAAGCGAGAAAGTGTCGGGTGCAGACCAAACACCACAACTGACGACGGCCTCCAAGTAAATCTGGTTAGAAGTTGTTCATAGTGATAGCTGATTTCTGGTAAATGATAGTTGTAATTAGTGACAACTGATAGAATACAACTGCAACAGGCTAATCATTTCATTGGCAGAAAACATTAACATTTTGTGAAGGCCGTCGTCACTTGTGGTGCATGGTCTGCACTTTCTCGCTTGAAGGGGAGGCTATATACCCTACGAAAAAAAAAATTCTGCTCTACGAGAAGCTCTGTTTCAGTCATGACTTGCTCTTACATCCCACTAGTTTTTCAATGTCTCGGCTGCAAAAAAATTTGGGCCCTAATTCTCAAGAGATGGTGCTTGACCGTCGAGTTCTGGTTGAAAAACCAGGTCTGGAAATGGAATGACGCGACTTGTTGGGAAACCTAATAGTGTAATGTTCAGAAGAGGTCATGAGTAAGTAGAGGGTACATCATTGATTGATTTCTCCCAAGGGAAAATAAAGTTAGAGCTAGTTGTCGGTTTGGTCAATTTTTGTCGGCTGGACCTCCCATTTCGCAGGCCTAAAATTTGAAAACCCTGGAAGAAATGTGGAAGTGAGACATAGCATTTTGTAGAGCAGACAATTCTCTTTCGAATGGTACATAACGTGCTAAAAACGATGGATTTTAGAGAAAATTTTTTGTTGAATAAAAACGCACTGCTTATTGGACAACCTAATAGTTTGGTGATGGCATGATTTTTCTTCTGGTTGTTTTAATATGAATATGAATACTTCGCCTGTTTCTCTTCCGAGCTACGATACCCTTAATGTCAGACTTGGCGACCGGACGCAGTCGCTGAGGACGGCGTGTCGTTACTGTTCCGCATGGTTTGCATTGAGCGCTCCTCCCCACTCATCACTCTGACATCGCGTCAGAATCGCCGCGCCCGCATTGTGCTGCACAATCGCCGAGTCTGACATTCATCTAAGGAATTCCGTCATTCTTTTGCAAGGACACGGCACAACTTGTGATTCAAGCGATCCAACGTTTGCACGACTGTGCTACCACATCGTTAAATTGGTACATGTTTAATCTATAAAGCCGCGCGATCGTGCAACCTCACCCCTGGCGTTGGTGCACGCCCTGATCCGCAATCGTGCGATTGTGCAATACCAGGGTAGCGACATTCGGCTCCCCCACTTTCTTCACGATTTGGGGCGCGGCCGCGGCGAGCGCGGACGAGTCGATAGTGCCCGCGAACTGTGGTGGTGAGCGTTTTCAAATTTACCCGCACAGTTCGCGGGCACTATCGACTCCGCGCGCCGCGGCCGCGCCCCAAATCGTGAAGAAAGTGGGGGAGCCGCGACATTCGCGAGCTATGGCCGCGACCTAGCTTTATGAGACTGTTCGCGAAAGACTCACCAACCTGTCAAGCGTCTTGGCTTGTAGTTGAGCTACATGAGGGGTCATGCTTTATTTGTATCAGTATTCCTTCTGATTGTCTCGTATTTCCCGGATATTTCGCTCTCTGGCCTTATTCATTCACTTGAAACTGAGCCGTTGTTGGAGAAATAAAGTAACAATTCGTACGGTCGTTGTCGTTATTGGAAACGATCAAACATGTCATTTTATCGAGTGATCAGGAAGTAGCTGCATTCCTTGATGCTTGGCGCTGGTGTTTGAGGGGCATCATCTGCAAGCCTACCCCCCCCCTTTCCCCTCCCCCGCTCCTCAAGTCCTTTCCCAGAGGAATGACTTTCAAAGGGGATCAGGAGGTGAGGGATTGTAACCGACTTTTCATTTTCTCCATTGTTCATTCTAGGTCCAGTCCGCACTTCGATGCCCCCCCCCCTGTTTTGCACACTGGCGCCTGGTGCTTTGTTGATCAACTGCCTGTTAATGAAGTGAACAATGTATTCAGGAACGAGATGGTAATCCATGCCGTAATGGTCAAACGATGAGAATAGCGGGAGCACGAGGAAACCGTGCAGGAGACAGGCCTTCTCACTACGACACTGGGCCGCGAATGGTGCCGTTGCGACCACCGCAGTATTACAGTCACGGTTCGTCCTTTCTATTATGAACAACCAACAGTTGCTAAGAACGCTACGGGAGTTATTATAATTTATTGCTAGAATTTGAAGGAGTTCCATTGCTTATGGCTCGTGGGGCGTACTATCGCACGGGACCTCCTCCAGTTGTTTGTGTTCCGCAACAGGATCAGCGTTTTCGAAACACATGGCTCGATGCTAATCTTGGTATTAACTACCCATCCGTTCAAATGGTAAAGTGACTGCTGTTGTACCGTTGAGTTCACTTGAGGCTAAGGGAACATCGTTTTCAGGTCGATTATGCGTTTACTCCTTGCTGTGGTGGATACCGTCCTCGGCCAATTTCTAGTGGACGAAGCGGTTATCGCTACCCATCCAAGAATCCCTATAAGGAAGCTACGAAAGCACATTCTAATGAACAAGCTTCATGTGAAGCAGATCATAACGAGAAGGCTCACGCTGCTGCTGAACATGATGAGTCTTTGAAAGCAGATGAAGAAGAGACCTGGGAATCCGAAAATGAAGAGGAAAAACAAAATCGTTGGACTAATAATATGTATTGGCCGTATGATAAGGAGAAACCTGAAAAAGAGAATCCATCAACCGAGGAGAATCACACCACAGATGAAAATGAACAAAGTAAAGACTCCGATATCACGTCGAGTGGTAAGGCAGATGCTCCTGAAACTGCAGCCTCTGAATGAGATGTGTGCTCCTTTCAACATTCCCGTCATTTTTCACGTCCATTGTACTCGTATCTTTACTTTTTCCTCTCCAACCACTATGAATGTCGCTTTGTGGACATGGGTCCCATAAGCTGACGTTCATGTTTGTTTTATTGTCTGTGGTCGTTGATTGAGCGCTCTAACCTGCCATTTTTTTCCTTATCAAAGGTTATCCATTGGGGTCTTACAGGCATTTGCTCTTTTGAAGTACAGTAGAACAACGACTATCTGGGAAGGTTTCTGTCCTAGGTCTTCTTTTTGAAGAAATTCGTTTTATATATAGACAGTAGAATATTTATAGATGGCTCAAGTTTCAACCAATAGTTTTAAATATTCTTTTTCGTCTTGGTTAGAAATCGCTCCTCTTTTCGTCATATTCCTGTATTTGACCGCAAACCTTTTTTTTCTCGTTACTCGATTATTCAGCAGACTTATTTTTGTTTCCATGTTTTCATGTTTTCCTTTTTGTATTTTTCCCTTCGTTTTCTACTTTTTTTTCGCTCCAGTTCCAATTGTTTTCAATTTCATGTATTATTTCCCATCGTTCACGATTTTTTTTCTTCGTATGGATTAGATGTATTGTTCCATGCGATTTTTTCCGTTGAATAGCGATGGTGTTTTGTTTTTTTTTTCACATTATATTTTTTTCCTCCCACAGGTCCACAGAGAATGGTTATTTAAAATGATGTGCGTTTTGTTAGCCGCACTGGTTGAAGTATTCGTCGTGAACTGCAGCACCGTACGTTTTCGGATTCTCCGAGCGCTGCTATGATTGATATATCTGTTTCTGTGTAGTTGTACGATCAACTTCTCCTACCCTGTGAAAAAGAATCGGTTCAATCTGGTTTATAGATTGTTTGATTATCGCTGCTGATTTGTCGATGTCGTATATTCCATGTGTTTTGTCGTGTAAATCTGTTGGTATTTCTCTAGACTACACTTATGGTTGTGCAGTCGTGGGAGTTTGAGATTGATGTTGGTCAGATTATAAATTTTACTGTGGCTCCTCGTATTTTCTTTGTGTTTTATGTGTCAGTATGAAACATTTCATATTACTTATTAATTATTTGGCGATTTTTTATTTTGTTTAGTGGTTAAGAGATGGCATTAATGAACATAGCAGATGTCCATGGTTATCACTGGTCCGCCGACAATTCGAGCACAGAGTATCATTCCACGAGAGGAACGCCTGAATTCACGTGAAGATGTGGTACATTGTGGACAACTTCTGTCTTTTGGCACTGATGTGATGAGGTACGATTTATTCAATCGGTAATTCCGTAAAATTATAATCACTCGCAATTAAACTGAACCGGTGCTAAGTGAGTTGGAGGTGAACATTATGATTTGTGATTGACTTCTTGCCCTATTTGAGTCTCCTTCTAGGCTCAGGCTTAGTTCCATTGCGTTGGACAGACGCTGCGCCGCCGCGTGCCCCCCCCCCTCCTCCTCTCGTAATAACTTCACTTAGCACCGCTGCCTGACGGTCGAGTATTTATGAAAGGGGTCATGTTTGCTTTATTTGGAGGGAGATGGTGATTGTTGATAAGGTAATGTGAGATGCACAATTATAAGTTCAAGTAGTAAGGATGATATACCGTAATCAGTACTGGGCGTAAAATAATTCGTATCCAGAATAGTGCAGAAAACGCCCTATGATCCAGCATGCAATCACCACTACGGTATGTTCGGTACTGTTTTACACCTGAAGTTTAACTTTTGCAATCATTTTCACGAACTAATGGGAAGATTGCACACAAAATCACGCTGATCCTGTCCTATGTTTGGAAGAGACGAAGTTCCGTCACAGGACCAGCTATACTCGGCGTTTTGGACATCACATGGGTTTTTGGAAATCTGTCCTTCCCAAGCTGATGAGAATCAGTCGGTGGAGACGCGTGGCCTCTGAAGGGGAGGATAGATTCGGCCCCTGGCGATGAGTGTCAAGTGTTCTTGCTCACGCACGGGTGGCACCAACCGTACCGCATGGTGCGTCGAACCTCGACGGAATTGGAGTCGTGTTTCAATTGAGCCTGTATCTGAAAGCTCGCGATTTAAAGATGACATGTAGCTACGGTTTTGTTCTTCTCATAACTTAGCACTCATGAATTTTTTGAAACATTTTGATGAAACGCGTCAAAGTAAGGGAAAATTGAAAGCAAAGCTGCATTATGCCCCTTAAAATCGCTCTTCTAAAAGAGCGCAAAATTCTCCTTTCCTATTATTAGGATTGGCTGGCAGATATTTTTCTCGGAAAACACGGGAACTGTGGTAGCGCTCGTACAGAATGCTGTGGTCTATCCGCGTTAATCTTTTTTCGACCGCTGATAGCTCACTTGGAAACGACTTTTGTCTGCTGGTTTGCTCCCTCCTTGGCCCGAAAAGGTAAAGTCAGCCGCGATATATCGAAGTAGTTTGGAAAAATATCCTTGAAATTTGACTGGCGTGGCTAGGTTTCGACCCCGCTCGCATAAAATGAAACTCACAACGGAGGTGTTTGTAACCTTACTGTGCGATTTTCAGAAGATTATTTAATCAGCCACTAACGAGAATGGAACTCGTATTATGTCCGAATCGTTTCGTAGGCTTCATTGCGAATTAGGTTATTGTTGATGCAAACATTCTTGAAGCACACAACTTTCTAGCTCACTGCTCAGTAATTAGCGCAGGTCATGCGAAGGTGTTCCCTTAAGCCTTTTAGTGATGCCATTCTTTGAGTAACTTCATCCAGGTCAACGCGTTAGGGCGATATCGTAAGATACGGGAATCTCTCTTCGAACTGAGCCCAGTAGAGGGCTGAAATCTAGGAAATTTCTTCCACCCCCCCCCCACCCTAAAAACTTGATCCCGTCTAAAAAAGAGGTATCTGACGCAATTTAATGCATCGCCAGTAATGCCCTCACAGCTGCAAGAGCGCCCCGAGGATAATAACTGCATGCATTCACAATGTTGGTTGATGCCCTCTATTGATTACTGTATACCATTCTAGCTCTCTGAACTTATAATCCTGGGTGGGAGATTGGCAGGAAAACATAATATGGCGAAAAATATGAAATTCGTTTTTGCGGTTGATATACCCTCGCTCCTAACCATTTTTGGAGTTTTTGGGACGCAGATGTAGTGTCTTACATGGGTTCAGGGTCACCTTTGACAACATCATAGACACTGCAAGGTCCAGATGGGGCGCGGCATCGGCAAAATCTCATTGACACGTGGTTTACCCCAGCTGACAATTGTGTCCTGTTTGTCACCACATAGTTTCGAACTTGGAGCTGTCACTTTCTGATGAAATCCGCTTCTTTGTGCTTGTAATTACTAATTTTAGTGGTCATGGTACTATACCTATTGGTGATAAGCTATCGGCTAGTGTGTCCGGTGTGAAAGTGCAGTATAGTCGACTGTTTTCTTGTGGAGCCGTACAAATCGAAGTACGTTTTGTTTTCTTTATAATTTGCTTTTCTTACATACTGTTCATTTTAAGGTATGTGCCCAAAATAGGAGATGTTGTAGTTGGACGTATCGCAAGTATTCAGAGAGCTCGGTGGAAGGTGATTCATCTCGTTACTTTAGTCATTTCTTTTGGTTTTGTTATACATATTCAGGTAGATGTAAACTATAGAATGGCTGCAATCCTGCATCTCAACAATGTCAACCTTCCTGGTGGAGAGCTCCGACGCAAAGGCTTAGAGGTAAGTGTTTTCCACAGCAGTTGTCCACTTTTGTGGTATCTTTCGCTATTATCTTTATCTCCCCTTAATCAAGGATGAAGTTGCTATGTCGAAGCACCTGGTGGTCGGAGACATGGTAAGCGCAGAGGTCCAACAGATACGAATGCGCGGACAGTTACAGCTTCATACGAGGAATTTGAAATATGGGAAGCTCGGTCAAGGAGTCATGGTTAAGGTAAACGTCGTGGTTCTTCCTTTATGCTTCAGAGTGTTATACTCCTAATCGTGAATATTAATAGGTCCCTCCGAGTTTGGTGAAGCCACAAAAGGAATACATGCATGAAATATACGGTGTCGGTGTAATAATTGGATGTAATGGTATAATATGGATTTCTCCCGCTCTAAACACTGATCCAGACGGTGGCTATAACACAGATTTCACTTCGGTACATTTATTTTGAAGGTGTGCGGGACTTTTGGCTCGTCCAAGCTGGCACGCGGCGAGTTGCGCGGCGATCCGAACGAGGCAAGGCTTCGCGGGTTCTGCAATGGAATTCAACACGTCAAAGCGTGTGCAGATTGCGGATAAATTCCGCACGATCCTGTGGTTTGGAAAAGCTTTTCCACGCGAGATTCGTTTATGCAATTGGAGATTAGATATCTCTATTTCGTCAATATGTTTCTTGCTGAGATGGTATTTGTACTGTTCAACTTTTCTGATTAATACTGTCTTTGAACTGTTTTCTGGCGTTCTGGTCGCTCAGGAACAACCATTCGAGAGACAAGGTCGGTGGTAGGTGACTTATACTGGAAAGTCCGCAGATAGAGAGCAGCGGCCGAGGGAGAGCATCAAATTGGCTGTCAGATCCGTCCTCCAGGAATCCCTGTCCTCCTCAGAGGGAAAGAATAGTTTTTCGTTTCTCTTCTATTTATAATCTTCATCCTCTCCCTGAGGTTTTTTTAGGTCAAATCACAGCAGGTGAATAGCTACACGTTCAGCTCCCCCTAGGAACGGTCTTCCCCTCCTCAACGACATGGCCCTGTTGCTTATAACAGCACTAGTTGCTTAATGGGCCTTTTTCAAATTTCTTTCTTGTACGAATTAGTCTTTCCTTACAACGAAAATCTTCGCTTACCCAATCACTTGCTTTCATTTCGTCAGAATCTTGCGACATTTTTAGTTCTCACGATCTGTACACGCATTTGACGTGTTCAATTCCGACTCGTCAAGAGCTCCGCGAAATATTCACGCTTCGTCCGGATCGCCGCGCAGGGTGTGTGGGTATCTTTAGACAGAATCGCGTACTTTTTCTGTCTTTTGCTGTCCGTTCGCTAGACGCTGACATTTCTGCGCGGTCATTGCTGCGTTCCCTGTACGAAAAACTACGGTATGGAAGAACGCGCGATTGGAGCAGCTTTTTTTGTATGCGCGAATTTGTAAGTTTCCGATCCCTTACTTGCGCGCGCTCACATTCCGTTTCAGTTTCACTCCCCTCCCTAAGCTTAGTCGTAGGCGCTGTAGGTGAGAAAGCTTAGTAAAGCAGAAAGTATGCGTTAAACAGCACGAATGTGAAAAATGAGTGTCATATTCATGATCAGGGCCCCAAATAACCCCTATGCAGAAGTTTACAGTCGTCTCATCAAACGTCCATCAACCATTCCTCTTCCAGGTTCTCCAGAAGCTCTACCATCCATCTCTGCAAAAATAACCTACCTCCCTCTTCACTGCTAGTTAGCGGTCCACTTCTGGTTACCATTTCCTCGTTCATTATCAAATCCATGGCTATTAAGCTTCAAACTCCTTGTCGCAATCAAAGCCGACACAAATATCGCGCTCCAATCGCGCGTTCTTATATACCGTAGTTGTTTTCGCTGCGGGTGCGCCAGCCTGCCGCGCGATGTCGCGTTGCGAAGAGCGAAAAAGTCGCGTTCTGTCCTAAGTACCCACACACCCGCCGCCGGCAGCCCGCAGCGCGATTTGCCGTCGTCCCATGCGTATCTCAGCCCAGACCATAGCCAAAATAGTTTCGTTCACTTCATTTGTGAACCATTCCAGCTTTCTCTTCTTAGTGCATTTTGTATGAAGAAATTGTCGTTTAGCGGATTCGCAGATCTCCCCCTGGATTCAAGCGTACAGCCTTGTCAGAGTTGCGCTTGTGTTGTGTGTCTGTGGTTTTGGTGGTAGTTGTAAACTTGCAGGTAATCTTATTTCAATGTTTATGACATTTTCTGCTTTAGTATGTCTGGCCATTAGTGGCTTTGTCGTTGGTTGTCTAGGTTCCAGGTAGCGCCATAATCAGTTCTCTGAAGTTATTCTTTTGTAATGTTTTATTTTTTTTTGGTTTCTTTTTGTTATTTTCTGATACATGTTGGAGGTTTCTTCTAGTATCAGTCGCTTTCTTAGAATAGTTGTTTCTTTACTTCCAAATAATGGAGTTTTTTCGATGCCAGATCTACCGCTTGTTCCTTGTTTTGACTCATAATCTCGTTGAGCACCTCCCTTGTGCGTGCCATTCTCTCGTACGCTCCTCTTTGTAGCAATATTTGCATTTCTGACTCACGCATCTGTTTAATGGTGCAACCGTTCTGAAGCCGTCTGTTCAATCAACAAGCCCATCAGGGTGGGTAAGTAGCGTGGCGGGCCCCAGAAAATGAAATAATGTTTAATTCTGTAGCTTGTGCGCTTTTCATATTTTCTTCTCCATTATTTAGTATGAACACTGATATTCAAGGAAGTGAAGCATAGTTTGGAATTTTCTTTATTCAGGTGAAGGAGTTGGCACATCCTGAGATTTCATCGGTTCTCGTGCCAAGGATAACGGATATGATAAAGGCGGAAGAGAAGCGGCGCGCCTTAGAGAAAGATCGGGAGGAAGCTGCCAGAAAACGGCGAGCTTTGTAGAGTTTTCTTTAGAATTAAAAGTCAGGAAGTAACTATACTGCGAATAGATGGAAGATGGACGCCAATCGGGTAAGTAGGAATAGAATTTTTCAAGAAGCAACTTTAATGTTGTACTCGCTGATTGCTTTCCTGTGCTTTGCTCGTGTATTTCTTGCCAACTGTACTTTACTGAATGACGGAAATTTATTTCTTTTAATGTGAGAATGTAGCGCCGGATTTCTGTTGAAGTCTCCTGGACGTTCTTATAATGGTTTTACATTATTTTCTACTGTTATTTTTACTCCGTGGCTGCCATTTTTTCTTCTTGAGATGCATCTTCTTTTTACACGAAACGATGCTGTCAAATATGTCTTTTATTGTTTGACGTCCTGTCTTCAGGTTATTTTTCTTTTCAAAAGCCTGTAGACAGTTTGAAGCCTTCAGTTTGGGAACCATCAACCAAGCGCTTCGTCCTTCAAGGTTCCGAAGTCATAAAGAGCTTCCTCGTAAAACCTAGTAGAGGGGTCAGGCTCACTTGAAGTCCAAAGGTGATATGAAGGATTTGCTCACGACCCATGTAACTTGTGTTGGCGGAAAAAAGCTTGATCGAATTTCTCCTATTCATCCGTATTGTGGATTGCATTTTGATTCCAAAGGCAAGAAGTCATTGACAATCAAAGATCACTGGTACTGCCTTACTTATGGCTTTTATGACAACCTGGAACTACCTCGAAGTTCTTCAGACGAAAGAAGTGCCGTCTTGTCTGCAAGATGGAACACTTCACGTCAAAGCTCGACCCGCTGTGTTTCTCAATTTTATCCCTTTTTAAACGGGTTACTCAATCCCGCAACTATT